GGATAAAGAGATTAGGGGTATAGATGCCAAAGCCACCTCCTATCTCTCTCCATCCTCTTCGTCAACATCAAGCTCCCATTTCTTTCTGCAAGGTAAATGGGCAGCATCTTGGGTGATTGTCAAAAGATTAGCATAGACATGTAGCGTACTCTCACTGCTTTGTCCCAGGTTCTGTTCTCTATTGGGTGCACAACAGTCAGGCACAGCAGTTTCCCAGTCTCTCAACACAATAACTACTAACACTAATAACTTTCCTACCAGTTTTAGACATTATATCACAAATGTGACTTCTCTAAAATTTACTTGGAGTGGAAAGTTTGAGCTTGAAGCACGTGGTGCAACTGTAAATACTGTACCGATAAAATTGTTTCGCTATATCAAACTCTGATTGTAAAGTAATGAAGACTTACAACACATTTGTGAAATATAATTTAGAAGGAATGGAACCCTTGTCGTTTATCTAGTTCTGCATAGTTTTATGCCGAAGCAATGTGCTTTTTCGGTAACCGTTAACCTGCAAGCCTGTTTTTAAATATTTCAAAAGTATTTGAATATAAAGGCTAATGGCTGGGGATGACGTGCTAAGGCCTATGGCAAAGAGTTGGGCACAATATGGCAAAGGCTATCGCACTACCAAAAGTGGGTTGTAGTCCTATCCAAGAAGAAGCGGTGGGGACTTCAGCAGTTGGCACAGCCAATCAGAAGCCCCCTTACAGGCATGTAAAATATAATGAATGATTTTAATGAATGCATAGTTGGATTAAATGGTAGTTTCATTATATAACAATATATAATAAGGTTTATCTGGAGCTTATGTCAGCATCAGGCTCTGTAGGGTTTTTTGTGGTATTGGAGTTTCTGATGATTCCTGTTGTACTCATTTTTGATTTAATAAATCATCCATCATGCCTTTGCACTATACCAATCTTTTGATTTGCATTCTCATGTTAACATGCAGTATTTCATATGGCAATGTCAATTGCATTAAGACAGCCCATTCCTTTGAAGAATAACATGAAAAAATGTCCTTATAGATAGAATTTTCTAAATCAGTATGTTGCTGTGCATTGTGGAAATGCACAATACAATATGACATTATACCACAAACGTGTGAAGCCAACAAAATTTTGAGCGTTATTAAATTTTAATGATTTTGTTACTCCCAAACTAATAAAGCAGAACTTCAGCCAAAACGAACGAAATAAAATGAATAGACCTTTAAAAGATAAAGCAAAACCGTACTCCCATTGAAAATCCAGAAATTTCCCCCACAGTCCTTTTTCTCCTCACTAGATGTCCTCAGTCTGATAGCCAGCATCATTCAACCCACTTCCCCTGAGTCCAGATTGTCCTGGAGCAACCCCAGCCAGTGAATGGACAGTGGAGACAAAGGAAGCATAGTGATGAACTCATCTCTCTGTCATTCAGCTTTCTTTTGCTATAAGCATGCTACTTTTCAGCACATGATCTGGTTGGCTCCGTTTTTCTGCCTCTTACACTCCAGCTCTATTGAACAGAGCTTTCAAGAAACTGCTACAATTTAGGTACTTGCAGTCTTACTTTACATGCACTTAAAAATATTTTTAATGATGCATTAATGATTACTGTCATTCCTAGCATTATCATTATCTCCTAGATTATAAACTCCAAGGAGCAGGGCCCTCCTATCCCTCTTGTATTGAACTGTAGTGTTGCTGTATTGTCTCCCTTTATACTGTAAAGCGCTGAGCAAACTATTGCCGCTTTATAAATTCTGTATAATAATAATAATAATTACAGAGCTGCATTATTGTATGTCTTTTATATCTGCCTAGAGGTTGACTTTAAGCAATTAAAATCACTCTTGTCATATAGTGTAGCACTTCCCTAAATAAACAAATATGTTCGGTACATCTGTAACTTTGTAAGTGGTACAAGGTTTTTCCATTTTGAAATGGCCCTGTAAAACTGCTAATAATAATACACTTACAATGTTACAACACAGGCCAGTTCCTGCATAGGCATGAGCTGAAGTCATTCTTTAAGGGAACATCATCATTTTTAAGCCAAAGAACAAAATGTGTTACCAGAAATAGATAAAGGTAACTAATGTTGCCAAATGGAGAAGGCCTCTAACCTTTTCCACATTTGGGTTTTTTTTCCCAGCTAACCTAGTCTGATTAATAAGACAGTGGTTATAATTAGAACAAACAATTTAATAGATATTAGGGCAGCACAGTTGCTACATGGTTAGCACTTCCGCCTGGCAGTACTAGGGTTGTTGGTTCGAATCACAACCACGGCACCACCTGCCTGGAGTTTGCATGTTCTCCCTGTGCCTGTATGCGTTTCCTCCAGGTACTCTGGTTTCCTCCCACACTCCAAAGACATGCTGGTTGGTTAATTGGATCCTGTCTAAATTGGCCCTAGTATGTGTGTGTATGTATGAATGTAAGTTAGGGACTGATGTGAATGTACAATATACAGTGGGGATCGAAAGTTTGGGCACCCCAGCTAAACATTTGTATTAATGTGCATAAAGAAGCCAAGGAAAGATGGAAAAATCTCCAAAAGGCATCAAATTACAGATTAGACATTCTTATAATATGTCAACAAAAGTTAGATTTTATTTCCATCATTTACACTTTCAAAATAACAGAAAACAAAAAAATGGCGTCTGCAAAAGTTTGGGCACCCTGCAGAGTTAATATCTTGTGCTGCCGCCTTTGGCAAGTATCACAGCTTGTAAACGCTTTTTGTAGCCAGCCAAGAGTCTTTCAATTCTTGTTTGAGGTATCTTTGCCCATTCTTCCTTACAAAAGTTTTCCAGTTCTTTGAGATTTCTGGGCTGTCTGTCATGCACTGCTCTTTTAAGGTCTATCCATAGATTTTCAATTATGTTGAGGTCAGGAGATTGTGAAGGCCATGGCAAAATCTTCAGTTTACGCCTCTTGATGTAATCCCCTGTGGATTTCGAGGTGTGTTTAGGATCATTATCCATTTGTAGAAGCCATCCTCTCTTTAACTTCAGCTTTTTCACAGATGGCATCAAGTTACCATCCAAAATTTGCTAAAATTTTATTGAATCCATTTTTCCTTCTACTCGTGAGATGTTCCCTGTGCCACTGGCTACAACACAACCCCAAAGCATGATTGATCCAACCCCATGCTTAACAGTTGGACAGAGGTTCTTTTCATTAAATTCTGTCCCCCTTCTTCTCCAAACGTACCTTTGCTCATTCCGGCCAAAAAGTTCAATTTTAACCTCATCGGTCCGCAGAACTTCCAAAATGCATCAGGCTTGTCTATATGTTCATTTGCAAAGTTCAAACGATGATTTTTGTGGTGAGGACGTAGAAGAGGTTTTCTTCTGATGACTCTTCCATGAAGACCATATTTGTACAAGTATCTCTTTATAGTGGAATAGTGTACCACAACTCCAGTGTCTGCCAGATCTTTCTGGAGGGATCGTGCAGTCAAACGTGGGTTTTGAATGGTTTTTCTCACAATCCTGCGAGCTGTTCTGTCTGATATTTTTCTTGGTCTTCCAGATCTTGCTTTAACTTCCACTGTTCCTGATGACTGCCATTTCTTAATTACATTCCGAACAGAGGATATTGACATCTGAAAACGCTTTGCTATCTTCTTATAGCCTTCTCCAGCTTTGTGAGCGTCAACTATTTTCAGTTTCAGTTTTCTAGACAACTGCTTAGAAGAACCCATGGTGCTGATTGTTGGGGCAAGGTCAGATGAGTCTGGGCATTTAAAACCTTTGAGATTGACATCACCTGGTCTTCCCAGACGATGATTGAGAATAATCCATGACACTGGCAGGTCTCAGCTTTGCAAAGGGGGCAGTGCATGCTATAAATTCTGCAGGGTGCCCAAACTTTTGCAGACGCCATTTTTTTGTTTTCTGTTATTTTGAAAGTGTAAATGATGGAAAAAAAAATCTAACTTTTGTTGACATATTATAAGAATGTCTAATCTGTAATTTGATGCCTTTTGGAGATTTTTCCATCTTTCCTTGGCTTCTTTATGCACATTAATACAAATGTTTAGCTGGGGTGCCCAAACTTTCGATCCCCACTGTATATGTAAAGCACTGCATAAATTGACAGCACTATATAAGTACCTGAAATAAATATTTCCCTAAAGTCAAATGAATGCAAGAATCCATGTAGCTCTACAATGGTTCCTCTTACTCATGGACTATATCCACATACAGTATCTCACAGAAGTGAGTACACCCCCCTCACATTTTTGTAAATATCTTATTATATCTTTTCATGTGACAACACTGAGGAAATCACACTTTGCTACAATGTAAAGTGTACAGCTTGTATAACTGTAAATTTGCTGTCCCCTCAAAATAACTCAACACACAGCCATTAATGTCTAAATCAATGGCAACAAAAGTGAGCACACCCCTAAGTGAATATGTCCAAATTGGGCCCAATTAGCTATGTTCCCTCTTTGATGTCATGTGACTCGTTAGTGTTACAAGGTCTCAGGTGTGAATGGGGAGCAGGTGTGTTAAATTTGGTGTTATCACTCTCACTCTCTCATACTTGTCACTGGAAGTTCAACATGGCACCTCATGGCAATAAACTCTGAGGATCTGAAAAAAAGAATTCTTGCTCTACATAAAGATGGCCTAGGCTATAGGAAGATTTCCAAGACCATGAAACTGAGCTGCAGCACGGTGGCCAAGACCATACAGCGGTTTAACAGGACAGGTTGCACTCAGAACAGGCCTCACTGTGGTTGACCGAAAAAGCTGAGTGCACGTGCTCAGTGTCATATCCAGAGGTTGTCTTTGGGAAATAGACGAATGAGTGCTGCAAGCATTGCTGCAGAGGTTGAAGGGGTGGGGGTCCAGCCTGTCATTGCTCAGACCATACGCCACACACTGCATCAAATTGGTCTGCATGGCTGTCATCCCAGAAGGAAGCCGCTTTTAAAGATGATGCACAAGAAAGCCCGAACGCAGTTTGCTGAAGACAAGCAGACTAAGGACATGGATTACTGGAACCATGTCCTGTGGTCTGATGAGACCAAGATAAAAGTGTGTCTTGCCTACAGTCAAGCATGGTGATGGGAGTGTCATGGTCTGGGGCTGCATGAGTGCTGCTGGCACAGGGGAGCTACTGTTCATTGAGGGAACCATGAATGCCAACATGTACTGTGCAGGGGCGGACTGACAACTCATGGGGCCCCCGGGCAATAGGGGATCATGGGGCCCCTGTGTCCTTGCCCAAACTCAAAAAAGCCTATGAAAAAGGTACCAGGGGCATCTCATGGGGCCCCGTACTGACCCCGGGCCCTCGGGCAGTGCCCGAGTTTCCAAATGGTCAGTCCGCCCCTGGTACTGTTACATACTGAAGCAGAACATGATCCCCTCCCTTCGGAGACTGGGCTGCAGGGCAGTATTCCAACATAACGACCCCAAACACACCTCTAAGATGACCACTGCCTTGCAAAAGAATCTGAGGGTAAAGGTGATGGACTGGCCAAGCATGTCTCCAGACCTAAACCCTATTGATTATCTGTGGGGCATCCTCAAACGGAAGGTGGAGGAGAGCAAGGTCTCTAACATCCACCAGCTCCATGATGTCATCATGGAGGAGTAAAAGAGGACTCCAGTGGCAACCTGTGAAGCTCTGGTGAACTCCATGCCCAAGAGGGTTTAAGGAAGTGCTGCAAAATAATGTTGGCTACACAAAATATTGACACTTTGGGCCCAATTTGGACATTTTCACTTAGGGGCATACTCACTTTTGTTGCCACCAGTTTAGACATTAATGGCTGTGTGTTGCGTTATTTTGAGGGGACAGCAAATTTACACTGTTATACAAGCTGTACACTCACCACGTCACATTGTAGCAAAGTGTCATTTCTTCAGTGTTGTCACATGAAAAGATATAATATATTTTACAAAAATGTGAGGGGTGTACTTACTTCTGTGAGATACTGTATATTCTTGCAATCCAGACCAGCCTTTCTCAAGCTTTTTACCACAGAGGAACCAATAAAATAATTTTCAGGTAACCTATGGCTTGTGGACCCCCACAAAGTTATTTTTTTTATAATCATTCTCAAAGCAAAGGTCCCTCAGTAGTTGGTCTGATATTAAAGACAAACTGCAAGCGCCCAACACAAAATTCTTCCTATATACTGTATGCAACTTAGATATTGGATCTCACCATTAATACCTGACAAAACCATTGGCACTTAGCTGACCACTTTTGAATCTACATATGTCTCAAAGTAGAAGGACTGAACAAGTCTAGGTCTGAGGAAGACTGGCAGCAATAATGGAACACAGTTGCCACTAGTACCATTTACATTACCTACATTGAACTGGTCTTCACATTTTTTAACCTGATTGTACATGGTCCCCTCCAGGCTAGCACATCTTTACTCTGGTCTACTAGATAAATGCTTTTGCAGCTGTAATGCCAGCAAAGGTGTCTTGCACATAAAATGTTAAGTAGGTTCGGGACCAAAGAGCTCAAATTTCTACAAAGCTTAATCGCTACTCACAATCCTAAGGATCCATGGCTAGCACTCCTTCCTTTTCAGTCCGCCTCCCTCATGAAAGCTCAGCATAAGCTTGCAACATATGTTTCTGACTGCTACGCAAATCATAGCACATGCTTGGAAGAAACAATTTACCCGACATAAGAGGCACTGTGAAAAATTGACTTTTTTTTTTTTTTTTTTTTAATGAAAGGGTAGCTAGCATACTTACTGATTGATGCAAGCAGTTTCTGAAGTTATAAAGCTCTTGGATGCAATATGTTCATCCCTCACTCTCAGTAGATACCCTGAAACTCCTGTAGTAATTGCTTTGATGGGACAGAATTTGGAGAAACTCCAACATTTTATCCTATCCTCCCTTTTTTTCCCTCTTAATTCATTCCCTACCTACGTGAGCCCTTTCAGCTTTTTTTCTCTTTCTTTTTTTCTTCTTTACAGTTTGCCATTCATGTGATTTTGTCCTTTACTTTGTGGTTTTATTCTCAGTTAGCTTATAAACTTTTCTTGCTACTGGAATCCTTAACCACAATACCACTTTTTTTCCAATTGAAACTGGCACTTAGAACATGATGTATCTTCCTTCAAGGCATTTTGCATCTCTCGTTTCCAGATTTTTGCATTTTTGATACAGCTTTTTTTTTTTCATCATCAAACAATCAGAGAATGTGTAGGAAGTTTGTGTATCTTCCTTGTCATGTTAAATCACAACTATTACCTAAATCATTTGTCTCCTGATCTTGTATCTGAAATGCATACCTGTGTTATATATATATAATATATATAAATAACAATATATATCTCCCCTGCAAAAAAACAATTAATGGAGGTCAGTGAAAATACTGCCCCTTACATTGGTTGTCACTGGAAATAATGCCCCCCCCCCCCCCCCCCCCTTACAGACAGCTAAAAAGATAATGGTGTCATGTTGCTGGCTGTGGCAAGTGGTGTTGGCCAGTGGAACTATGGATACACCAACAGATGGGAGGTCAACCAGCTCAAGGATCCTCTATCAAACTCTGGAGGAACCCTAGAGTTCCAAAGAACCCTGGTTTAGCATGGCTGTTTTAGATTGTAACCCCATAAACATAACATAGTTGTACACTATTTTAAGTACCCAACTTTGTGAGCACTGACAGCATTATATGTTAGTATTCACTTACACAGAGTAACACGTCAGACATTATAATCTATTACTCTGCAAGGCATTAAGGTTAGGTCACATTGCTGAAGGCATCAAACAAGTATTGGGTTGATGCCCTATCCTGGGCTCATTTTAGTGGATTGCATGAGCAGACTAACCATTAAGCTGGATTGGGACATTGAACAGTATACAGTTTTATTTCTGGTGTCAGTGAGTGTCCGAAGAGTTTCAGAAATCTAGGCTCAATTCACAATGTTATCACACACTTACAAGGATCACAAAAATTTTGTCATTTTCAGCTCTGTTGAAATGTGAAAATTAAAGTCACAAGACTAAACATAGAGAAGGGAATTAACAAAATGAAATGCATCAGTTTTGTGGTGTAAATATTGTCACACCACAACCATGCAAATCATGTTAAAAGTGCTATGTGACAGTTTTTATAGGTGTCTGATGTTATTTGCCAAAGTATTGATGCTCTTGCACCACTGTTCTCATTTAAAAACAGTTCTAAAATATATACGTACGGAGAGCAGAGGGGAATTTGAGTGGACAAATAGCGAGGTGCAGAAATGCAAGCAGGAGAGGGAGAAAATTTAGGATGATCCCAGCAGAATATTACATAAAATCTGCTGCACTAACACCAATACTTACCTGAGCCCCCTCTTGATGCAGCGATGTGCACGGGAGCCTTGGGTCTCTCTCTCCTGATTGGCCGAGACACAACAGCCAGTAAGGAGAGAGCAGGGGGCAGGGCCAAGCTGCGGCTCTATGTGTCTTATGGAAGCATAGGGAGGGGTTCAGGAGCAAGTATGCATCAGTGCCTCCATAGCAAGTGGCTTGTTATTGGAGGCACTGGTCAAGGGGGAGGAGCCTGGAGCACTGGCAGTGGACCCGAGAAGAGGAGGATCAGGGGAACTCTGTGCATAACCATTGCACAGAGCAGGTAAGTATAACATGTTTGTTATTTTAAAAAAAAAATGTATTATCACTTTAAGTAGGCATATAGAAATTAGGCACACGAAAGTCTTTGTTAATCCCCTCCAGAGGGCTTTAAACTGCTGTTTAAAGCTTTGTGAATTAAAATGTTAATAAACCCACAATAGGAAAATCAGTCTGTATATGTAGTAAAGCATGCTTGTTATACTCACTGTGAAACCTAAGGGGTTAATCCTGTACATTGTATAAAAAAGATATTCGATCCTGTCTTCTCTGATCTTCCCTTTCTTCCAGTGTCTCCTAAGTATCTCCTGATAGAACAGGGGTCGGGGGCAAGCTGCACATGCTCAGTTTGGTGTGTATTGCTAGAGAGTTTTTTTTTTTCTTGTTAAAGAGTGCATGTGATCAGCACAGGGCCAATCAGCGCTTCTAGACAATGGTCAGGGGACCTGTATCCTCCTACAGGAGAATGAAAACTCTTCCTACAAGCTGTAACCAATGCTCTGCTGGACACTGATAGAAGTCACAAGACTGCTCTAACTGCAGATGAGAAAAGGTATTTAGCAGTTTATATTTACTAAAATAATTGCATTTCCATGTTCTGTGTACTGTGGGAGACCAGATATAGTGAATGCAGGGTCCTGGGTTTAGTAACACTTTATAGCCTGTACAGTGCCTTGAAAAACTATTCATACCCCTTGAAAGTGGCACATAATTGTAAAGTGGAAGGAAAGTTATAAATGAACATAAAGGGACACAGAAAATATGTGGAAGAAGGTGCTCTGGTCAGATGAGACCAAAATTTTACTTTTTGGCCTAAAAACAAAATGCTATGTGTGATGGAAAACTAACACTGCACATCACCCTGAACACACCATCCCCAACGTGAAACATGATGGTGGCAGCAACATGTTGTGGGGATGCTTTTCTTCAGCAGAGACAGGGAAGCTGGTCAGAGTTGATGGGAAGATGGAAGGAGCCAAATACAGGGCAATCTTGCAATCTTAGAATAAAACCTGTTAGAGTCTGCAAAAGACTTGAAACTGGGGCAGAGGTTCACTTTCCAGAAGGACAATGACCTTAAACATACAGCCAGAGCTACAATGGAATGGTTTAGATCAAAGCATATTCATGTGTTAGAATGGCCCAGTCAAAGTCCAGACCTAAATCCAATTGAGAATCTGTGGCAAGACTTGAAAAAAGCTGTTCACAGAAGCTCTCCATCCAATCTGACAGAGCTTGAGCTATTTTGCAAAGAAGAATGGGCAAAGATTTCACTCTCTAGATGTGCAAAGCTGGTAGAGACATCCCCAAAAAGACTTGCAGCTGTAATTGCAGAAAAGTGGTTCTACAAAGTATTGACTCAAGAAGGATGAATACAAATGCACGCCACACTATTCAGATATTTATTTGTAAAAAATGTTGAAAACCATTTATCATTTTCCTTCCACTTCACAATTATGTGCCACTTTGTGTTGGTCTATCACATAAAATCCCAAAAAAACACATTTGTTTTTGGTTGTAACATGACAAAATGTGGAAACTTTCAAGAGGTATGAATACTTTTTCAAGGCACTATATGTGAGCCTTGAAATATGCATGCAGAATGTGGCCTGTTTTTTTAGCTGTGATGGATCAGTTAAATTTTTTGCTCAATTCAGGATAGGCATGATAATGTATGTACCTTTTTGACCCCAAAAAAATTACTTTAGCTTCCACAAACAGTAGAAAGTGTGGTAGACGTGTA